CGCGGCAACACACCAACCAGGACCCAAGCCCCCGAGGCCCGGCTCTCAGTTAAATACCTTCTCCAGGAACAAAAGGCAGTACACAGCTGTTTCACACCTTAAGGTTCACACTCCCTTGCTACCTCCCAGAGTCCTCGAAGAGACAAAAGACTCTTCGTGTGGAGTGTCTGCTCCCCCCAACTTCCTTACTACACCCCCACCATTTGTCTTACTGTATGGGTGTCAGACATGTTTAAATCCAGTGGCACCAAGGCATTATACAATAAGATAATGTGATTAATACATAACTAAAATAAATTCCTATACAATCCCACCCTTTGATTCTTAAATCAAGAATCACATTAATACCAGAATTTCTTTCCTGACATTGTGTATATCACATCAACATTATTGTACACTCAAAGGAGTTTCACACTGTGTATCCTCACTTCACTGTTCTCTCACCACCCTTTGTTCATCTTTAATCTTCCCCACAATCTAAGCTCTCATATGCAAATGGCAACAACAATGATACAGAGGAAAGGTCTTCTCCAGAGTGTCAAAGTACTTTGCATGGCAAAGTGAAACAGCATTAGGTGGTCATTCCCAGTCACGGTCATGGCTCCTGGTGTCTGTGCCATTTACAGAGTTATAATTCCAGCGCTGATCTCCCTCTGCGCTGTCACCTTTGGAGCTTAGCACGCTCAATTCATCCATCGATTTCTGTTCCAACGTGGCTGTAGATTTAAGGCAGAGCAAGTCGTACACTTTAGTTGTCTTCCTCAACGTCGAAATCTCTTTCATTTTATTTAAGATTTTGCTGTGCGAAATCTCCTCGTGACAATCCTTTGGAAGCCCAGTGGTGCAGCCCACTGTCGTTTGTCTGCTGTCCTGGAGATGGTTTCTGCTTCTCAATGGTCCTCTTGAAGCCTTCTCTCTAGCGATGTTCGATTCGTGAACAAATCGTTCGACTCACTCACTCACTCACTCACTCACTCACTCACTCACTCACTCACTCCTGTGCTGAATCTTAAGCGTAAGCGAATCACTCAGGACTCGCTCACCCCCTCCCTCCTGTGCTGAATCATAGGGCGAGCGAACGAATCACTCACTCACTCACTCACCCCCTCCCTCCTGGCTCACAGCTTCTTCTTCTTCTTCTTGGTTGGCAACCGCATTACCGCCCCCTGGCTCACAGCTCAGTGGACATTTAGATGAGAAAATATATATTTAACACATTTAAGGAAAATACTAATAAAATAAAAATAAACAAAATAAATGTTTATTAAGCAATTTTGATAGGAAATTGCTTAATTTTAGAAATGTTTTTGCTTTATAAAATAGTTGGTTTTTTTAGAATCATTCATCTTAGCAGTGGGATTTACATGAAAAGAGAAACAAATTAAGTTTGAGTGAAAATGTACATTTTTTGCACTCTCTGGTCAACTGACTCAGTGAATCAAATGACTCAAAAAACCCAATTCACTTTGGTGAGTGACTCATTAAAACTCGATTCAGTAAAAAGAATCAAATTTACCATCACTACTTCTCTCCCAGTCATGGTCTGCATCTGCACCTCAGTCAATCCTTCCATATCCCTCATGTCACAGTCTCTGCAATTTAAAAATGAAAACTTCCCCCGGACAACCCTCTTTTGCCTTCTGTCAGCTTAGCACAATTAGACATGCACAATAAAGTTGTGCATTGTCTCTTAAAAATTCCAGGGCTTCTCCCCTGGAGTAGCTTCACTCCAGGCCCTGTTGTAAGAAAAAAAACATTAGCAAGTGGTATGTCCTGCTGTAAATCATGTGATTAGATCCCACGATTAACCCTCTGCTGTGGAAAAAGTGATGTAGATGTTAGCGCAGCGCATCTGTATGCACACTTTCTCACAGTGACCTCTGCACTGTAAACAATACAAGGTCATGAATAACACACTGCTGGTAAATTCACAAAGACACAGAAAGTGGCAATTAAAAGGTTAAGTCAGCACGGCCCAAAAGCTCATGCAACCTGTTGCTGTCAACTTTCTGCTCCTGTAAAAAGAAACATACATACATCCACCCTTTTGTCACTGTCTGGGTGGAGGTGCAATCTTGCATACTGGTGTCAAGTCAGTTAAGCTTTTGTCAGTCCAGTCAGTCCCCATTTTTTATTTGCTGACAGTAGAACCTCTTGTGATGCAATAAGTTTCTACTGCCAGCAATGACGTCATTTCAAAAAAGGAGAAAAGAAAATTTAGACTGGATTACCTCGCTGAATCCTTTTTGACAGGGACTTGTTTTCTGATTGTCCCAAATAAGTGGCTTTCTCCTGAGCCCATTTTAATTTTGGAGAAGCTCACTTGCGATTGTTCAACATGTTGTGTAGTGCTTTCAATCCAGATATTGCAGGCCTGCTTGAAAAAAAGAAAATTGCCGAACAAAAAAATCTCAGTGCACTGTTAAAAATCAAAAAATATGAAGGCCTAGTTTTAGGACTTGTCTACAACAACAACAACAACAACAACAACAACAACAACAACAACAATCTTTATTTATAGAGCACATTTAAAAACCAGCGGTATACCAAAGTGCTTAACATAAGAGACAGAGAAGTAACACGAGTATTATAAGGCCTTAGCAAAGTATCAAATATACTCACAGGTCAATGCCACTAATACACAGGGGTAATATAAAATGCATATCAAAATAAAAACATAAGAAAAAATAGAGTAAGTCTAAAAGTCAGGTGCGAGCATTAACAAGCAGGAAAGGCGAGATTAAACAAATAGGTTTTTAACCGTGATTTAAAAGATTAGATGGAATCAGACGCCCGCATCACAATCGGAAGGTTATTCCACAACTCTGGTGCAGCCAGGGCAAACGCCCGGTCACCTCTAGACTTCAGCCGAGATCTAGGCTGCACCAAGAGTAACCCAGTAGATGATCTTAATGCTCTGGCAGGAACATATGATTTAAGGAGTTCCTTAAGGTAGCTCGGTGCTGTGTTGTTGGTAATTTTAAATGTAAGCAGTAGTATTTTAAATTGGATGCGGTATTTTATGAGTAGCCAATGCAGGTCAGCTAGAACAGGAGTGATACAGGCAAACTTCCCAGTTCTGGTCAGAATGCGTGCTGCAGCATTTTGGACTGTCTGCAGTCTATGAAGGAGGGCAGAATGAAGACCAAAATAAAGTGAGTTACAGTAATCCAGCCTTGAGGTCACAAAGGCGTGGATGAGCTTTTCCAGGTCCTTATGCGGAACATACTGCCTAGCCTTAGAGATGAGACGGAGTTGGTAGAAACTAGATCTAACTACAGCAGACACTTGTTTATCGAGTTTGAACGAGCTGTCAAGCAACACGCCCAGATTGCTAACAATGTCAGAAAGGGAGCTGGTAAGGGAACCAAAGGCATCACGAAGTTGGCCACGAGGAACGTTGCTGTCAAATACCACAATTTGGGTCACACTATGCACAATAAAGTGCATAGTGTGACCCAGTTCAACACAGTGATGCCAAATTAGTAACAAGAACAAAGTGCGGTTTCACACATTTTAAAGTGTTCATGAGAAACAAATGTCGATGCTTCTTTCCAACCACAGGAGGTACACAAGAAAGCCACCACCCAATTTCTTTCAAACACTTTGAGCTGGAAGAATAACTTTGTTCTTTCACAGTCTGTGGTTGCAAGATGAGTGCAGGAACCCTGCACACAGTGCAACCTTGAAACGCATACATACAAACATATGTAGAAATGTCACTTTCTGGGCTTTGTAATGCAACCTGCTGGTTATATTAAAACAATAACAAGAAAAGAAAACAGAGATTTATGCGATCAGACCTTGAAAAAGACATCATTCTGTCATCTCAGTTCATTTGAGACCTATAATTCTGGGTCTCAAAAACACTGAAAGAGACAAGAATGCTTTACTCCCATCTACAAGGCACTGTACCATTTAGATATTGATCTCAAACTTTCCTACCTGCTATTTTATTTAGTTTGTTCAAACCTTTTGCCATTTCTGTTTGTTTTATTTTTTTCTTTTTTATTTCTGATTCTGATCTATTGTTTTATATTCTGTAAAGCATTCTGTGAGTGTTTTATGAAAAATGCTCAATCATAATTTCCTGTTTTGTGATGTACATTACTTGCTTGACAATTGTGGTGTAGGTTAAAAATTGATTAGAATAATTTTCACCTTGTAAAATCATTCAGCCGATAAATGTGCTTTCCCATGATCCATGTGTTGTTGTTGTTGTGGTTGTTTTCACTTTTACTATTAAACTCTAAGTGCATCATTAATCCGAATTATATGTAAGGACATTTGGGGAAAGGCCAGATTAGATTCATCCACCTTAATCATATTTGACTTCTGGTACCAAAATCGCAGAAACATTAGTTTAATGATTTATTTTTAACAGTTATTTAAATTAAATCTCTGTGGTGGTTGTCTTTTGTATAGAATACAATGAATAGATCCTGTGGTCTGCTAAATTCCCAGAAGGAAGCAGGTAAGAGCCAGATAAACATCAAAACATTTATGCTCATACACATCAAAACGTTCCTTAAAGATGCATGGAGACATGAATGAACACGAGGAAGAGCAGATTTTGACTTGAATTAGCAACATTTACTAGCTTGGATGATTCTGTTTGTCTGTCAGTTCCTCTGAAGAGCATTGAGGTGGAGCTGGAGGTGAGGGACCATGTGGCTACAGTGGTCTCCACTCTGAACTACGAGAACAAGGAGGACAAACCATTAGAGGCTGTTTTTGTCTTCCCTCTGCCTGGAGATGCTGCTGTCTGTCATTTCAGTGCTCAGATTGGACAGACACAGATTGTAGCTGAGGTGAAGGAGAAACAGAAGGTGAGCTGGACAGTAAATATAACCTGATTATAAGTGAGCTTCAAAATAAACACAGTGAATGTCACTGACATGTGTCACCTGTGCTTCAGGCTCGTGAGGAGTATGATGATGCTCTGAGCTCCGGTCAGCAGGCCTTCCTATTGGAGGAGAGTGATCAGAGTCCAGATATATTCTCTCTGCGTGTGGGCAGTCTGCCTCCAGGAGAGAGCGCCTCCATCAGGTTGGAGTACGTCACTGAGCTGGCTGTGCAGGCTGATGATGGTCTGAGGTTCTGTCTGCCTGCTGTGCTCAACCCTCGATACCAACCTCAGGGTAGGAAAAGCAGATGGCACTTTAACAGAAAAAAGTTTCATTTCTGCATGTAAGGTGGTGGGGAAATTTCCACTCATTTTCTGTCTGTAAAAACATAAAAATTCTAGAATAAAACAGAATTTTTTTTTTCAGAAGTTGTGATGGATATATAAAAGTTACATTGACAATGAGTTCAATATAACACAAAATATTCAGTGGAAAATTTATTGCAAAATAACTTTGTTTTCATTATCACCTTTGTTTACAAGCTCAGAAAAAATGTTGTGGGATGGGTTTCATTTTGCATTGATTCTGGCCTTTAAAAATGTTCAATTATTTGATTTCTCCTTAGTTTTTATTATAATGGCATCTTTACTACGCTAAATTTTTTGATTATCCTTTGAAGTTAACACTGATAACAAAGTTCTTTTACTTCATGTGCTGATGTGCAGTACAGTGAAGGTGCAGGTGTCCAGGTGACTTCTGTTCCAGCCTCTCTGGTGCCCTACAGTCTGTCTTTTTCTGCCCGAGTGTCCTCTCCTCGTCCAATCTCTAAAGTAGAGTCCAACTGTTCCCTGGACCCTCTGCAGTACCTCAACACTGATCAAACCCAGGCCACGGTAGGTAGAGTGCTGATGTCTGCTGTGTGTGGTTGTTACTTGTTACTGAGAACTAAATATGAATGTGTTTGTGGTGTGCAGGTCAAGCTGGCTGCAGGACACAAGTTTGACAGAGATGTTGAACTGCTGATTTATTACAAAGACGCCCACCAGCCCACTGCTGTGGTGGAGGCAGGACAGGCCTCTGCTGAGCCGGGTGAGTAAAAATGAGTTACAATTTGCAAATAAAAAGTTAATTATCTTTACTCGTCAACTCAGGAGTTAAATATCTTTGAATAAACACTAAGTGGGGTTGTTTAAAAAAAATAGAATAAAAAATTATCTCGCTTTTCAGGCTCTCTGATGGGTGATTCAGTGGTGATGGTGAGTCTGTACCCTGAGTTCCCCCAGTCTGTGATGTCTTCAATGGCTTCATGTGGAGAGTTTGTGTTCGTAGTGGATCGATCTGGAAGTATGGACTGTGCTACGAATAACACTGAGCAGCATGAATCTTGGATGAGCAGTGCCAAGGTACTTATGATGTTAGAGTTATAAAACACTTTTTTAATGTTCCTCTTACACAGTGGGCTCACCATCTTTTCCCTGTTCTCTTAAGGACACTCTCCTGCTCCTGTTGAAGAGCTTTCCAATGGGCTGCTATTTCAACATTTACAGTTTTGGGTCCAGTTATGAACACATCTTCCCGTGAGTCTCTCCCTCATATCAGCCAGCCCAAGGAAAGGCCATGCTGTCTTGGTTAAAATATCTGAATGGCTTTTTTGATGCATGTGTTTATGTGATGGCAGTAAGAGTGTGGAGTACAGCCAGCAGACCATGGAGGAGGCTCTGAAGAAAGTTGAGCAGATGGAGGCTGATCTTGGAGGAACAGAGATCCTGCAGCCCCTCAAACATATTTACAGCCAGCCCTGCATTCCCAATCAGCCCAGACAGGTAACGCATACAGTGGGACACTTTCCTAGGGTGGTTATGGCTCAGGTTGTGCAGCAGATAATCTGCTCATCACAACGTTTGTGGTTTGATCTCTGGCTGCATGGCAATGTGTTCTTGAGCCCCAATACACAGAGCAGAGTGTGAAAAATGACAGAAAATGCTTAGACATATAAGAAATCCTGGAGCCCTTCAAACATATTTACAGCCAGCCCTGTATTCCCAGTTAACCGTGACAGCTAATATACACACTGGCTTACTGTCATGGTCCTGCAGCCATGACTGAGTGACTTTGTGTTTGTGTTCTTTATTGTTATTACTTTCATTATTATTCATGGCTGTTTTGGGATGGTTTGTGTTCTTATCTTATCACTGAATTCAAAACAATCCATATAAAACTTGCATTAAAAAAGGTTTTGAGATTTGATCAATAGACATAATCTTTTCATGCTTGTGTTAAAGTAAAATTGACGTTAATAATAATAATAATAATACATTTTATTTATAGGCGCCTTTCAGACCCTCAAGGTCACCTTACAATAACCCAAGAATAATAGCAGCAATAAAATATAATAAATATGGCAAAATAAAATTTAGACATACAGTTAAAAAAATGTCTGTGAAGGTTCTCAGTCATCCAGGTCATCGTAGTCTAAGGAGCTTGCAAAGAAAAGCGTCTGGACTTCTTTAAGTTGCTTGAAGACGTTTCACCTCTCATCCGAGAAGCTTCTTCAGTTCTAAGGTCAAATGGTGGAGAGTCCCAGATATAAACCTAGTGGGAGTTTCCCCCCACAGAGGGACAAAAGGACCCCTGATGATCCTCTACCTAATCACATGAGCCAAGGTGTGAAACTGGGTGTGGGTCCAATCAGCCAGGGTTTCGGGTGAGCTCATTGTGAAACCTGGCCCCACCTTATCATGTGATTTCCTGAGGTCAGATGGCCCAGGATGTGAGTGGGCGTTAAGGCGTCTGGGAGGGATCTCAAAACTGGATTATAGATGGCAGAGAGTTGGTGTCGTAAACCCCGCCTCTGTTCAAAGATGGTCGCTCACAGTGGACATAGATGGCTTCTTTCACTCCTCTTTCAAACCATCTGTCCTCTCTGTCCAAAATGTGAACATTGGCATCCTCGAAAGAGTGACCTTTGACCTTTAGATGCAGATGGACTGCTGAGTCTTGTCCTGTGGAGGTGGCTCTTCTGTGTTGTGCCATGCGCTTGTGAAGTGGCTGTTTGGTCTCTCCGATGTAGAGGTCTGGGCATTCCTCGCTGCACTGTACAGCATACACCACATTGTTAAGTCTGTGTTTTGGCGTTTTGTCTTTCGGGTGAACCAGTTTTTGTCTGAGCGTGTTGCTGGGTCTGAAATGCACCGGGATGTCATGCTTGGAGAAAACTCTCCTGAGTTTCTCTGATACACCGGCTACATAGGGGATGACAATGTTGTTGCGTCTGTCCTTCTTATCCTCCCTCGCTGGTGTCTGGTCTTCTTTTCTGTGCCTCTTTGCTGACTTTAAGAACGCCCATTTAGGATAGCCGCACGTTTTGAGTGCTTCCTTTACATGTGTGTGTTCCTTCTTTTTTCCTTCAGGCTTAGAGGGAACATGTTCTGCCCGGTGGTGTAGGGTCCTAATTACTCCAAGTTTGTGTTCCAGAGGGTGATGGGAGTCAAAGAGGAGGTACTGGTCCGTGTGTGTGGGCTTCCGGTAAATTTCGATGTTGAGGTTGCCATCAGAAGCAGAGCAAATCAGGATGAAAGTCTCAGCCACCCTCTCCAGTGCCAAAGTCCCTCCGTCCAACCTCACAATACAAGAAAAGAAGGCCGTCGCTTCCCTGAGCAAAGACCACAACATCACTGTTTTACCAGCTGATAAGGGAAGATGCACCGTGGTCCTAAACACTACAGATTACCACACAAAGATCACTACTCTCCTCAGTGACAACAATACCTACGAAGCCTTAAAGCGAGACCCCACAAGCAGCTACAAAAAGAAAGTTATAGCTTGCCTTCAAAACCTTGAAAAGGACAAAATCATTGACCGCCTTACATATCACAGCTCCTTGGAAGACAGGACCAACTTCACTCCTGATCAGATTTGCACACTGTTCAACCTCTGCCTTACCACTACATATTTCAAATATAATGAGGGTTTCTACGGACAAAAACATGGCTGTGCCAGATCCTGATCTTGAGTGAGTAATTGAACAAACTGTGAGCGGCCAGAGAGATAAGAGGTAAACCAGGCGAGTACTGTACCATTGATACCAATAGATGCTAATCTGTGAAGAAAGGATGCAGTGGGAGATAGTGTCAAAAGCTGCTGTAAGGTCAAGGAGAATGATAGTCCAGAGTCAGCTGCAAGCAGAAGATCATTGGTGATTTTTACTAGGGCTGTTTCTGTACTGTGACATGAACAGAAGCCAGACTGAAACTGTTCGTACAAGTTATTTCCACTGAGATGTCTATAAACCTGTGCAGCCACTATCTTTTCCAGAATTTTTACTAAGAAAGGGAGCGAATGTTATCTCTGACTTCTTTTCGGATTCATATAATACTGTGAAATTAAATGTTAATTGTAGTCTTGGTATAGCTGTGTTCTTTAAAAACTGACTTGTTTGATGGATGCAGTTAATAATACAAGCAAAAATATAAAAAAATGTTTTCTGAGAGACTTTGATGGCGATAAAGGCGACAGCCTGATGAAAACATCACAAATCCATAAATCAGCTGATTTTTTGTACTTTTAAGAAACGTGAGTGCACCTTTGACGTTTCCTCATTCCTTCATAACACCTGTTTATAACTCACCGTGTTGCATTCTTTGCATTCTTCTGTGGCTCACGTGCATCAAAGTTTGCATTATTGGGGGCATGGCCTCTGTGACTGACAGGTGGATGGTGACACAGAAGGCTGTAGCTGTTAGCTGTCTGCTAGCCTTCACCTGAACTGGACCCTGGATCGTGTTTGTGTTGTTGGAGCCTTTTGGAGCGTTTTGATGACATTACGTGACCAATAATATGACTGCTGCAAGGTTACTGTACATAAGAAGGTGGAGCTCTGGTTTTACTGAGTGAATGGATTTTGAGTGGCAGGTTTGTGTGTGATCCTGATGACCTCAGGCATCTTTTCCCTTTACTATATTTCTTTTTGTTTCTATCTGTGAAATAGAGAAGCTCAAAGCCAGCTACGAGGCATTTCCTGTGTCCTGATGTGTCCACGAGCTGACAGACATCGTCCTCCTCCTCTTCCTGAGAGTTAAACTCAGAGTTTTGGCAAGAACAAAGTCTGACTCAGCGTCCACGATCTTTGCTGTGCTCTTGCGTAATAGACGCTTACATAAGGCCAGTGTGAACACTTCCTAGTCCAAACACACCTGCTGCAGCCACATTTACACCTGCCTCCACACTGCGTTCAGGGAATATATGGACATATACCACAGAGAAAATACCTGTTATTACCTGTTATTTGGTTGTTGGGGGCAGCACTTTAGACAGAGACTTCCAGACCTTCCTCTCCCAGTCTCCTTGAGGCATTCCCAGGACAGCTGAGGGCCATACAGAAATATCTGCAGCGTGTCTGTGATCTGCCCCATAACACCTGACCTGGGAGGTGTCCTCCACTGGCTCCTTTCTATGTGGAGGAGCAGCAGTGGTACAGTGAGTCAGTCTTAAATGACTGAGCTCTTCACCTGATCTCTACAGGAGAGCCGAGCTACTCTCAGAGAAAGCGGCTCACTTCTACTGCTTGAACCCTAAACAGCTTTTGAGGGAGTTCTGACGAAACATCAGAGATGATGATACCCTCAGGAAGCCCCTGAAACCTCTCCCAGCTGGAAATGACCCTTGCCAGCTGTGTGTAGCCGGCAGGATTAAAAGCAGCACTCGCTGCCATGAAACCACTCTGTGGGATGAGGTCTTGTTTGTTCACAAACATCATGTCTGTCTCTTCTTCACTCAGGACATATTTCTGAAATCAGAACATGACATCAGAGGTCACATGATCACTCTGTGTGACTTGCCATTGTTTAGAAATGACTCAGCGTCATCAGAGCTGAAAATAAACAGAGCGGGACTGCCGAGATCCTCTCACTTGATGGAAATCCAAGGTCCGGCCTCAAACGCGTTAACCCACAAACGTTTACATCTTCCTTTGGATTAATCCCCATTTCCTCTGTTTCACATGACATTTCTTTGTCTTTTTACTGCATTGTTTATTTGTTTATTTATAAGGAACCCCATTAGCTTCCACAACAGTGGTTGCTAGTCTTCCTGGGGCCCAAACCATCAAATACCACCAAATAAAATGTTACACAATGAGTTGGATGCAAATTGTCCACATAATTTGGCTCTTACATCCACAATAAGGTTTTACAATTCTGAAAATGACTTTTAAATAAGAAACACTCTGCTTTAGGACCATCTCACAGCTTCTGCCTGTTTCTCCTTGCAAACATCTGTAACAATGATAAATGATGCATCTACAATCTCTGTTTAACTGTTGAGCTCTTTTTATCCGAACAACACACCACAGAGAAAATATCAAACTAGATCAGAGATGTGAGCTACGGATTAGCTGCACCCGGTAAACCTGTCGTCTGGCACAGCCTAC